TTCCCCCCCCCCCCCCCCCCCCCAAAAAAAAGTCTGTAGTACTGATGTAAATATTAAACTAGACCTGTTGCTGATCCAGAATCTTGAACTTGAGACCAATGCAATGTTATGGAGAAAAGGAATCCTTTTTTTCCCTGTAGATGAGGTTAACTTGTTTTTAATGATGATTGTTTGCATCTGCTCAGAGGTTTGGAATGTTAGAAACGGCCCCCGTGGGATGGATTAGTGGTCGGAGAGCAGGTGATACGGTCAGAAGTACACGCTGACTGTTATCTATCATGTTAATGACATGGAGATCACTAGTGCGTACGTGGTTTATATGTGCGTCCTGCAGATGTACGTGTTTCTGTAAAGATACATGTGCGTAAAGCAGCTGCTTAAAAAATGTAACAAGTGTTCTCAGTCAGAAATTCTGTGATTTTTTTTCCCCTGTAGCTTCAAAAGCACTGCAGTGTTTTACAAAATATTGAGCTGGAAAAATGTTAAGAAACTGAATTCTTGAGAGAACAAGGCTGAAACTTCTGTATGATTATTTCATACTTTTTGGCTCCTCTGATTTCCATCTAGCATTGAACCTCTCCCCTTCCTCCCCCTTCCTCCTCAGCCCCAGGAGGCTACCATGACCTTACTACCCACCCACGGTTTCCATGTTACTGTCAGCATCCTTACACTTGACTGATGAGAAGTATGTGATTATTCAACACATCATGAAAACAGCTAGGGCAATTGAAGGAGAAATCTGGAATATATTTATAGAAATCTGTAAACAGTCATTTCAATTCAGTTATTCAATGCCATGCACACATTAGCTTATTAGCTGTTGAGCTGTCAGATATTCTTTGGTTTTTTCACCTCTTTTAAAAATTACCAGGCACCAGCTGTATTCTCCACCATTCTGTATTTCATAACATTCTGTTTACAGAACAATTTCTGTCTTGACTGCAAGAACGGAGAAAAGTGTGTGTGTTTGTTTTTGTTTTTTGTTTTTATGCTTACACCTTTTCATTGACTTAAGAGGTTTGACAAGTAATGATTCACTGACATTCCCTCCGGGCTAACAGGCATCTTTAGCCAATTTTAGCTAATGCATCCATATAATTCAACATGAACTTTAAATAGCAACACACATGCACATGCAGACAAAAAGAAAGGTGTGAAACCCTTTTGGAAAGACAAATAATGCAGCAGTGGAACATTCATTGCAAAGTCTGTCTGTTCTATGCAATAGTCAGGTTTTGCACTCACCACTGCATGATTTAACCACATTGGTATGATCCCATCGAGGCTCTTGGGGTAAACCAGCTCTCTGTTGTAAGTATACAACGTCCAGAAGGATATAAACACAAACTGGAACAAAAGAACACTTTGTTTTGCTTGGTTTTCAGAAGAAATGGAAAAATAGCTCATATGTGAAAAATGTGAGACTGTCAGTTAGAATAGATTAGCAGGGGCCAAACTTTTTGGCAGGTGTGCCACAAATTAAGCCCTGTACCCTCCATGAGTGCCATTCCGATCCCCTTCCTTTGTCTAATCTGCTGTTCTGTTTTCTGCTCCCTGCATGATCTGCTGCTGCTCTTTCTGCCCCCTGCCTTATCTGCCATGGTGCTGCTTGTCCCCTGTCTGGTCAGCTATGTGCCACACACAGAGGCTGCCCATGCCATTTGTGGCACACATGCTTTAGGTTGGCCACCCCTGGCATAACTGCTACAAAAATGTAAGCAAGAGGACTTGCCACAAGACAGTCTGCTTTGGCATCTATATAAGAAACCCTTCCTTTAAGGTATAACCTGCTAACTCTGGAATTTCCCAGGAATACATAACTATAATATTTTGCCCGTGGAGTTTTGTCTGATCTCAAGTCTCTAGGCTATTAAGCTAAGCAACATGCTCTGCTCCATACAAAGTAAAAGCAGATACAAACAAGATGGGTTGATCATTTAAATCTTGCTCTGTCTTTAAAGTCCAAAAGATTCATTCCTAAGCTGCTGCTACACAAGGAAGCTGCATCTTGGGCATCCCATCTCATCAATATGGTAGGATTTACAATAGGAGGATTTACTGGGGAAACAAACTGCAATATCAGCTAACAATACCCGAAAGCTCATTTGTGCTTTCTTGGTTTGCGTTTAGGTTTGAATACAAGCTGTCCATATTGTGGAACCACGGGCACAAAAGGTTGAGGAAGTGGTTGTCCGTTCAGAGCGCGTGTTTATTTATAACCTACATGTATACTTGTGTGTAGTCCCTTTGTGCCAATAAACCCAGAAAGTATGGAAGATGTGACGGCAGTGTGGTAAGGTGCCAGTACTCAAGAGACTGGCTAGTAACTGAGAAGCTCAGCAATGTTCCAGTGTCGCAGTCACAGGAGTGGTCTCTGAGCTCAACTGTGATAGGGTCAGGTTCTGCACCCGTCACTCAAGCTATGTGGTACTTACTCTTGTGAGCATGTCATTAATTACAATCTGGCCCATAATATGCAGAATCTTTTGGTAGACATAACTGACTGGATGTGAGCAAACAATCCAGAATGGATCTGCTGTAAGTTATTATAAAATAATGTCATTTAATGCTGATTCTCTTCTACATTTTAGGTTAATTTGCCAAATGGGGAAGGGAATGTGAAGACTTGATGTCTTTTAAGGTCCTTCCCATGCTCTTAAGGCCTGCACTGCCCTTTAGAAAAGAATGCTTCAGTATAATATGTCAACGGCTCTGTAGGAAATAAGAGTAATACAATGCCTGTGCCTGACTCTCTGAATGTGGTGGATCTGTTTTGACATTGTCCAGGTTGTGGAAGGTGTAGCGAAAATAGATACTTTTCTCTATGCTTCTTTGTTCCTTGTTTTAGTATTAACGCCTGCATTCTGTAACTTTCCACCCACATGGTACAGGATGGCCCACTACGCATGTCTTACATGTTGCCCAGGTTTTGTTTTGTAATGACCAATCAAAATGTAACACGCCAACTAAAAATTGCTAGCTCAATAAAAGCAGTGCGCGCGCTTTGTTTAGGGTCGACACTGATTTGAGCAACAAGCTCCTCTGTCGGCCTGCTTGCAAGCAATAAAATAGAGTTGGACCCATCCTGAAAGTATGACTCTCTTCTAGAGGTGAATTGGACTAGCCTCCAGGGGATAAAACCAGCAATTTATGCAACAAAGGGACTTGTGGACTGGTGTGTCTGAACATTGTCAGTACTCAACCATCAGCGTGGCTCATACGGATTCATTTATCTGTTTTGTGTGCATGTGTGAGTGTGTGTGTGCACAATTATGATTATATACATTAGTTACTTACTGTGGCCACAGGGAAAGCCCCAACACTGAAGAGAAGGTCTCTGCAGGAAATTACGTACTTAACAGTTCGCAGTTTCTTAATTAGCCTCAGCACATCAGCCAGGAAGGAGACCCCATAGAAAATAGCCTGAAAAACCTAAATTAATTACAGCTAATGAGGGACTCTTCATCCAGTTTTAATTAGCATGTTCTTCAATGAACTCAATTCTTGCTCTTCAGGGAGCTGTTTTGTTGGTGAACTACAAGTCAGCACAAGGGAAATAGCTTTTGGCTAAATCTTCCTTGCTAACTGAAATTGATTAAATAAAGTAGTTCAGGGGAGAATTTTAACAATGTCTCATTTAATGGACTGTGGAGGAAAGTGTGATAGGATTCAGACTGGGAGTGGAAGAAGGACACATTGGAAGATGGGCCTTGTGGCTCTTTATTATTAACCTCAACATCACAGTGGAGTGATGGAAGGAGGCAACACTGAAAATAGCCAGATTTGTTTCCTGCGTAGCCACACTGCAAGGCTTCTCACAGGGGTGAGACAACCTGGTGCATCTTGGGTGAGGGCACTTGTTAGAATTCATCTCAGGGCTGTAGCCAGTTCAAAGCACCCTGAATAAAAAGGCTGTTAAGGCAGCGAGGGCACCATGAAAAGAGCTGTTCTGCTTTGAACCTGTTTCTGTGGAATTCAAGAGGATGAAGAAGCAAGTGTTTGCTGACTTGGTACAACCCTTTTTTGTGTGAGGACTCAGTGGCTGAATTGCTTGTGGCAAATAATGTAATTAATGATTTTTTTTTTCTTTTTGGAATACATAATTCATCTAATCAGTTATTTGCAGAATGTTCTCAAATCATATAGTTGATTAAAAACAACAGCATTTGTGAATACTCTTACACAGGTCATCAAATAATTGCATTTCTAAAATAACTTTTCTCATCATTCAGTCACCTCTGCTAGTGTTTCCTGGTGCACCATACTAATTTGGATATGCCAGAGAATACAGATTGAGCCTCTCAGAAGCTTTCTGCCCTTTGTCTGCTAGCTTGTATTCACTATTCAGTCAGAATGCAACTCTCTTAAGGTACCGGGGGGGGGGGGGGA